CGCTGGCTGCCAGCTTGCTGGGTGGTACTTCCATTTAATTAGGTATTGTAGGCCACCTTTTTTGCGGCTGTCAAGAATTGCGTCAAACAGCCAGCGTTCTTCGACTTCTTGTGTCTCGTCGTCGCGTAGTAGGATCCGTCCTCTCAGGTTACGGGATTCGGCTTTGTTAATTGCGTCTTGTCCGGGTAGGCCGCGGGCATTAGTGTATAGTCGTAGAAGCGAATAATAGAAGACAGGGAAGATTTTCATAGTGCTAGGCAGTTCAACCAGGCATGCTCGGGGGTACACTTTTAGGATCTTAAAGGGACCGGCGACCTTATCATCACCTTTCTTCATAGGTCGGTTAGTCTTCATGTGCCTAGTGTCGACCTATACTTTTTGTCCGATCTTGTATACGGGCGCATCTTCGCGATAGACGTTAGCGTAATATTCGTATTTATCGATAGACTGCTAGGCTAAGGCCTTAAGTTGCGTGATGATGCGCTTAAATCTGTCCGCCACCGCGTTAGCGCGATAAAATTGCTGTTTCTGTGCCATGCTTAGGTTTAGAGGTGCTGGCTTCGAAGGCTTAATACCAAGTTGCGGGTTGTATCCGTAGTTTGCGAAGAATAGAGAGACACCTGTAGTCTCTAAGATAACGTTATTCATTACAAATTCCGCTAGTGGGAGCCACTAAACCTAGTCATCTTGGTGGAAGTTTATAAACGCGCGCAGGTAGGCCTCAATGCCACTGTTGACGCGCTCGGTCTAGCCATCTATTTCGGGGTAGAAGGAAGACGAGTGTTTTAATGTAACACCTAAGCGTTGTGAGAGCTAGGTCTAGAACTCTAAGACGAATTGCGTGCCTCTGTAGGACACGATGTTGTCTAGGCAACCGTGAAGACAGTATACCCGCAAAACAAATGCGTCGGCGAGCTCATCAGCACTAAGAGATGTGACTAGAATTAGGTGTCGCATCTTGGTAAGTCTGCAGACTACCACGAGGAGATGCTGGTAAGTACGGCTGTACCATGTAGACTTAGGTAGCGGTGTGATGTAGTCTACAGAGACGTCTAACCACGCACGGTACGGAAGTGGCAAAGGTTGTAGGAATCCCTGTAGGGCGAGCCGTGATGCCTTGGAGCGAACACAGAGGTTACAGGCCTTAACGTATTGCTCGATATCCCAGGACATCCCGGGCCACCACCATGTGCGAGTGATGAGATCGAGCGTTTTGACGCGGCCAGGGTGCCCGGCTAGGCCAGAGGAGTGCGCGCGGTAGACTATCTAGGAGCGTAGTTCATCGTCGGCTAGTGCGTAGAGTCTGTCGCGATAGAACAGCTTGCCATTGTGGACCTTGCAGTCCATTATAGGGACGCGGACCTGCTTTCGCAAATTCTTCGGCTATCTTATAATAGTAGGGTCTTATATGGCGGTAATGAGTTGCTGGGCGACGTCGTTACGTTCGTAGGCTCTAGTGGTGACATCGTCAATTAGCTCGCCGTGTGCGGGGGTGATAAGTTCGATAGGGGCGGCACGAAGGTCGCTATCGGCCATCATATCGTGAAGGGCTGCTAGGTCGAATCGTTCGGGCGGAAGGAGCGTGCGGTGTCTATTCTTAAGTCTTTCGTCACTCTAGTTGGCCATGTCTGGTCGATCACCTGGTTTCCTGCTAAGGGCGTCTGGTCGGATGGCGCGGGCTCCGGGCCTATAGATGATCTAGAAATTAAACTAGGAGAGGAACTCAGACCAGCGTACTTGTCTCTAACTAAGCACTTTAGTTGTCGTGAAGTACTCGAGGTTCTTGTGGTCCGTAAGGATTTCCGTTAGAAGGTCTGTTCCTTGGAGCTCAGGTCGCCACTCCTCCATCGCTTTAATAATGGCGAGCAGTTCTTTATCGTAGATCTCGTAGTTGCATTCAGTTGCCGAGTGCCTAGAGGAGAAGTACGCTACTAGACGGAGTATGCCGTCGTCGTAGTACTAGGAGAGGACTCCACTAGAGGCCTAGTCAGAGGCGTCTGTTTCGAGTACGGTTCTTCTTCTGTAGTCGTAGGTGGCCAGGATTAGTGCTGTAGAGAAAGCATGCTTAAGTTAGAGGAAGGCATCGTTCTACGTCTGTTCCTATTCCCATAGTTTGTCCTTGCGCATTAGGTCGTTGAGTGGTTTGCAGATGCTAGAGAAGTTGCGGATAAAGCGTCTGTAGAAGTTGGCGAAGCCAATAAACCTCTGTAGGTCTTTAAGGCAAGGTGGGGGGAGCTAGCTCTAGATAGCCTTCACCTTTTCTAGGTCCATTTGTATACCGGTGGGAGTGACGATAATGCCCAGATACTTAGTTTCCGTGACCTCGAACTCACACTTGTTGATGTCGATCTGTAGTCTAGCGTCGAGCAGTCTTCCAACCACAGTGCGGACGTGTTCGCGGTGCTCCTTCTTATTCTTTGAGTAGATAAGGACGTCGTCTAGGTATGCGGTGCAAATGCGATCGAGTAGGTCATGCAGGGTGTGGTTAATGTAGTTCTGGAATAAGGCTGGTGCATTGCAGAGGCCAAATGGCATAACAAGGGATTCGTAGAGACCAAACCGTGTGATGAAAGCAGTCTTCCATTCGTGTCCTTCGGCAATGCGAAGCTTATTGAAGGCTGCAATAATGTCGAGCTTAGTATAGACCTTAGCGTCGCAGAGGGCGTCTAGGGTCTCGCGAATAAGAGGCAGGGGATACCGGTTTTTAATAGTGACGTTGTTGAGGCCGCGGTAGTCCTGGCAGATGCGCACTCCCCCGCTAGGCTTAGAAGCCAGAAGCAGAGGGGCTGCGCTTCGTGATCGGGATTCACGAATGAAGCCCTTGCCGAGGTTGTCGTCCAACCACTTGCGAACGACGAGGAGTTCCTTTGGTGACAGCGGACGGTTCTTTTCGTAGGGTGGTTCGTGGCCAGGTTTGATATCGATAACGTGGTCCCATAGTCGTCGCGGGGGAAGCTTATTAGCTTCCCCAGGAAGGAACGCTACGTACATGTCTTTAAGCCAGTCAGGAAGCTTAGCAATAATTTCCTGCGTGGTGAGCTCGGGCTTAATTCTGAGGTATTTCTCAATGTCTTCTTCCGAGAGGCGGTGTAGGTGTAGTGGGCTAAAGCATTCGTCCACGAAATCGTGGAGCTGGCGTGGGAGGACTGTCTTCCAGTACTCCGGTGTCCCTTCCTACTTAATTACAGATTCGAATGCCCTTTTAGGGATGTCCAGTTCCTTGGTCTGTGCGTTGGCGAAGGCTCGGTCGAGCTCGTTCCATGTAACCTTAGTCATGGTTACACCTTCTTGCTTGCAGAATTGGACGAACCCTGTAGCAAGTGTGTACTTAATGTCCTCCTCCTCGAAGTTGATTGTGGGTTGGCGTAGAGGGGTATAGGAGGGCGGGATAGGGACGCTAAGAGGAGGGAGGACTCCTTTCGCAGGTGGTTTTGCCTTATGCCTCTGTCCTGCATGTGCTTGAATAGGTCTTGGAGAGCGTTTTTAGCTAGGGATCATGCGGGCGCGGACCTCGGGCCCTCCGTTGGCGGCGCTGGCGTCGTAGGTTTGGTAATGGGGGCGTCCGGGGGTAAGAGTCTGAGGGACATACAGCTCTTGATCTGCTGGTGTCTGCAGGGTTTGCTTCTTGGTACATTCCTCTACGGAAGGTGCTTGGTAATTAGTCGAGGCATATGGCAATTGTAGTGGCAAATCTGCTGTGCAGCCCTCCTTAGATGGCATCTGGTAGTTCGAGGTCCTGTGTGGTTCCTCCTCTTCTAGATCCTCTTTGATTGTCAGTAGTCTTGACTTAACAGCGCATTTTGTGGCTGTCCTGGCCGCCATTGTCTGCGGACGGTTGCGTAGTCCTGGGGCTGTGATGACTACACTAGAAGGGTTGCAATAGCCTGTACATCTCCATTTGTCGAACTTTAGTTGCATGTTTGCCCAATCAATAGAGGGGTTATGTTTTTGTAGCTAAGGGAGTCCTAGGATTACCGGTGTGTTGGCAGCGAGTCGTGTGATAAAGAACAGGCCGTATTCGTTATAGCCTGAGATGGACATCGGGAGGATAGTGTATTCTGTGATTGTGTCTGATGCGATACCATCTGCGAGCCTAAGCTCACGAGGTCTTGGTAGTAGGTACGTCGTCAGGCCGTGTTGTTGTGCAAATGTCCGGTCGAGAAACGCATGTCCGGAGCATCCACTATCAATTAGGGTGGGTATGGGAAGGGTCTGGTGCGCGAGGAAGAGATCAAGTTGAACCATAAGCGATTTGCTATTTACTAAGCGAAGTTGAATAGGGTTATGGTCCCATATCGCCGAACAAATCCATTTATCATAGTCACTGTCCTTAATCTCTATCTTCCTCCTCTGCTCGCGACGCTGGGCAGAGGACACTAGTTTCCCTGGCTCTGGGGGGTGTTGGTCCTAGAGACGCTCTGGCTAGGGGTGATTGAGGAGCTGGGTGTCAAGGGCGTAGGGCTGTGGACGCTACCGTACTCAATGAAGCCACCCATAGCGCGGTTTTGCATAGGTAGAGAGCTGTAGCTAGGGTGGCCGCCAGAGTGCTGTGGGAAACCGTTGAACTAGAGGGAGCTGGGTGGTGTGCGAGGATGTCTATTCTGGAGGTGGGGTTTTTGGCTGAACTGAGTCTGGTAGTTCTGGGCGAAGTTGCTCGCGCCTCCAAACTGTGGGCGGGCAGGGGTGAATCCCTGAGCCCGCTTCTGATCGGCACGATCCTTCTCTGGGCAGTCACGGAGTAGGTGGCCTGTAGACTTGCAATATAGACAGAGACCGTTGTCGATGCACCATTGCCTAGGGTCAATCCCAGGCGGTGGGCGTATAACAGTATTGTGAGGGCGTCCCTAAGCGACAGCACCAAGGTCCATAGCGTCGGGGTAGGGGGTAGGAGCTTGGGGTGCCTTCTGAGTGTGCTGGTATAGTGCGTTGGTTTTGTTGCTTTGGAGGCGCTAGGCTTAAGATTTGTAATGCTAGAGTTCTTCTATGTCGGCATAGATATCTTAGAACAACGCACACCATCCCAAGAAGTCGTCTACTGCGAGACTGCCTTTGCGGGTAAGGGCACGATCGAGTAACTCAGGTGTGACCTTGAGCTTCAGAAGGTCGACCTTCTTAGTTGCGCTGCGGCGGGAGCTGTTGGCGTAGCGGTTGAACGTAGCAAGGAAGTTCGGGAAGTTAGTGTTGCCCATATTAAGCTTATCGAGCTCAATCCTAGTATTGCGAGAAAGATCGCCTAGTGCATGTAGCTTGTCTAGTGCCTTGAAGAGTTCCTCTGAGTCCTTCCATGCCCAGTTGGCGTCATCGTCGGCATCGTCGATAGTCAGAATCTCTTCCTGGATGGCGGTGTAGGCCACGGAGTCTAAGAGGCCGCAGATGTAGTGGATCTTCATAAACTCCGAAGTGAAGTACGCGCGATCGTTTCTAAAATTAGCCTTGATTTTGTTCGCGAAGGTGAGGTAGTTTTGCTGGCGCTTCGTGGCGTTTGATTCTGTGCTGGTGAACTTCTCGGGGTCGTGGGACAACTTGCGGTTGCGCGGTATAGCTTGTTAGAGGACAATCTGCTAGTAGGTTACGACTTGCTACTCTGCAGTCTGTGCTGCCAAGTTGGCAGTGTCGAGGTTATGCTGGCCGGCAGCGATCTGTTGAATGAGTCCGTTGGTTATAGCAATAATATTACCTAGGACGCTGCTAAGATTACTGGTGGGGCTGCTGTGGAGTGCTTGAATAAAATCCGCGGGGTCGTTGTTAAACGAAGCATTGTTGTTGCCTATAATCTATTAGGCAAGGTCGTCGGCTTGCCCGACAAGGGCTTGTCCCACGGCTATTGCCCATGCGCGTCGGGGTCGGTTGTCTGTCATGGTATACTGCGGGGTATTTCTTGGGTTGCGCTCGTGCGTAGAGGTGTCAAGGTTTCTTCGGGTTCTAGGTGTCTAGGTCTTTGGTGCTAGGTTGCGCTTCCTTTGGTCGTGGTTTCCGGGGGATTCAGAGGTCAGGACACCAGGCTGCAAACCTAGGTTCTTGCAGTAGGGTGTGTAGTTGTCAGACACTACAAACTATCACGGGGCCAAACAGCAGTCGCAAGGTAAGAACGTAGTTGTAGTGTAAAGGTCTATGTACAAGAGCACGGGGAGGATATGTACCGTAGGGTAGCAGGCGCTAGGCCAAGATAGGGATGGGGGCACGTGACCTACAGAGCGCCGAGTTGGTGCTGTGACAGGCAGACTGCATTCTGCGGAACACGCGAGGGCAACCGGTTTAATCAAATTCAGGCTGAGGGCAATGTCCGTTGTCAAAACACCGAGACGCCCTTACAGGAGTCATGCGCAAGCCAGGATAGAATTGTCAGATTTTTATGGATGGGATCAAGTGTGTATTGTCTGTCTCTGTCTACGGCTCTGTCTGTGGGAGGTGGCCTCGCCTCGGGCTTGGCAGTGCTAAGTCCCGGCGCTAGCCCTGGTTTGGGGGTCTCATGTCCTTCCCCAACCACCATCGGCTCGATCATGGAGCAAAACCTCGCCTCAATCTGACAAGAATAAGCGCCATAGAAGAGATGACTAGGACGATCGAGGACGCCTATAGTGATTTTAGTTCGACACGGGAGTTTTCCAATGAAGCTTTAAAGGAAAGAATAAGTCAGAAAGCGAGAGATATTGTGGTGTAGTAGCTTGTCACGTGTTTGGCGTTAGGTATGTATGTATGTATGTATGTATGTAATCCATTAACGTCCTTTATCAGTCAGAGACTATGTAGGACGGTGGCAGATGCCATTCTAGCTATTTTTATCTCTCCTTTGACGTTCGTTGGTTGTGTTTTTGACTATTGTGGTTTAGGCATGTCCTAGCTATTACAGGGGAGGAGAGAAAGTAAAACCCTATTATAGCTGCCTGTTTTTCCTTCTCTTCAACCTATCTCTTTTTGCAACGCTTTCCTCGTGTTCCTAAGTCTGAAAAAAACCTCGAGGGGGAAAAAGCCATGGGATCTTGAACGAGGCGTAGGGTTGTAACAAGCTTAGCGTAGTGTTGTAGTCGTAGCAGTACGTGGCTCGGGTGTACTGCGGCTATAAACTGTCGCTAAGTTTTTTGCAGGGGTAGGTGAAAATTTGCGAGTTGGAGTAAGCCGTTCGATATTTTTTTGGTAAAGCCACAAGTGGCGGTGAGAGGAGAAGGATTCGAACCTTCGACCTCTACTACACTGCAAATTTGGAGTGCGGTAGAGGAATACCAGACGCTTTACCACTGCGCCATCCCCCCTTTGGCGTTAGGTAATCGGCGCTAGGGTTGGGTATTTTAGGGCAACTCCGCGAGGAGAAGCTCGACATCATCGGATCATCTTATCGTACACCATTCTTAATACTACCGTTTGTTACTCGGATACCTTCTTGTTCTCTACTCTCTACCGATTGCGGGTCGGCAGCCTCTCTTCTGACTATTGAGGCTATCCCTCTACCACAATACGCTCGATTATCAAAGCGTTGATCTACTTAGTAGGAGCTCGAAATTTTCCCGCTCTCTTGCTGACCGTACCTCTGTCTAGACCACCATTCCCCCGGCGAATTCTTTCGTTGAACCACAATTTGACACTTTCAGCGTCGCAGGAATCAAGTACAGTGTCTTTAACCATCAGCATACCATATATATAGGCTATAGCCCAAGCCTGCAACAAGTGGCGCCAAGAGCCTGGAATTTCCTGAAGCAGAGTCTTGATAAAGCTCTCCAGGAGCAGAACTGCGTCAGGATAATACAAGTTGTCGTTGCAAGAGAATCTTTGCATCGATTCAGGATCGCTCGGGGGTCGAATGCCAACATATGTGCTTCGAAGCAACACGACTCTTTCTGAGCCAGAAAAGCCTGCTGGAAACTGGAACCGTAACGAATTGGCATCCAAGTTCCCGTATCCATCATCCCCTCTGAGTAAAGTCCGTCGGCCTATCTCGTCATCGCGAACAAGCTGTGGATCCGTTATGGCGTACGTCCATGGGGCGGGGCGAAAGCCTGCCTCAACCAACTTCTGCGCAGCGAGGTCGTATTCTGAATCCGAAGGGACTAGCATACAGCTCTAAGTAACGTTTGTAAGTAAATGTTTCAGCAAGATGAGGAGAAGACATACATTGAGCAGCGTTACAGCTCCGAGGAAGCCCATTGCCTCTTCGCCCCAGACAACCACATTGATAGGGCGCAGCACCTGGGCGACGGAGTTGAAAGCCATGTGACGGTGAGGGTGGTAAGAGAGTACCTAGCTGTGTGCGGTTTATAGTCTGGCGCCAGAGGTGTGTAAAACAAAGCCTCCTGTTGGCCGAAAGCGAAAGTGGCTGTCAGTGGGTAGGTTGTGGAGTTGAGTAAAGAGTCGAGAACAAAGAATAAGACCGTTTCTCAAGATGCCGCAGGCTTTATCTCGCTTCCCCGCGTGATTGGTCCCTCAACAGGGAAAGTGGCCCCATCCTCCCAAGCACTGTCCATTTTTCTTTTAGAAAAGAAGAAGAACAGCGCAACCACCCCCATGGGTTCTCTGTAATTCCATTTTTGAATAATGTAAAAACGAAAGAAGAGAAGAAGAGAGGAGCAGCCACATCTTTGAGCTCCTCTGCTTATTTAATCTCCCCCCCCAGCGCACCAACCGCACCCACATCACACATGCTGTATGGAATTTTTAAGAAAACAGAGAAGAATGGTATTTTAATGTTTTCATATGCAGTGTAAAGAAGGACGAAGGAGAGAGGAAGACGGAGGAGGGGTTTATATATGCGGTGTGGTGGTGCGTGCACGACATGTTCAAAAGAAGGTAGTTGAAAAGTTCATGTGTAAGATTAAAACACAGACCGAAAGCGAGATATGGGATGTGAGAAATGGAAAATGGAGAGAGATGATTTCAAGACTACATATCCTACACTACAGTAAATGAGTGTGAGTAAATGTAAAAAAAAAACAGAAACGAAAAACCAACAAATTCGCTAAATGACAAAAAACTCCAGTCCACCCCATCTATCCCATCCTTCCCCCCATCTCATCTCATCTGATCTCACATCCCCCTCCACATCCAACCCCCAGCTCTACAACCTACAACCTACTCTCCCACCCCCCCTCCCGTCCCTCCCACCTCTCTGGCCAGACCCGTCCCAACGCCTCCCAAATATGCCCCACAAACTCAATCTTAATCCCCTCGGTAACCTCTCTCGGCAACTCCCTCGCGTCCTTGCGATTGCCCTCAGGTAGTAACACACGCTCGACGCCTGCACCCAACGCACCAATCAACTTCTCCTTGATACCGCCGACCGGCAACACGCGACCCCTGAGCGAGATCTCACCCGTCATAGCGAGCGTAGGCGGGACAGGTTGGTTGCTGAAAAGGCTGATAAGGCCAATCGTATGCGCGAGACCAGCGCTGGGTCCGTCCTTCGGTATCGCACCCGACGGACAATGAACGTGGATACTCCTGTTTTTCATAATATCCTCATCGTGAGTAGCGCAAAGACCGAGGTCAAACGCGTGGGCTTTCACCCAGGTAAGCGCTACCTCCACGCTTTCTTTTAGTACGTCGCCCAGTTTACCAGTCAACTGCACGCGGCCCGTACCAGGCATATCGGCGATTTCGATGAATAAGATGGAGCCCTGGCCACCGGTGCTGTACGCCACTAGACCGGTGATGACGCCCGGTCGCGACGACTGCTCGGTGAGTTCCTCTGCGAATTTTTCGATGCCGAGAGTGGCGTCGAGGTCTTCGAGCGTGACGGTCGGCGTGTATGCAGCGAGCGTGTTTGTGTCCTTTGCGGTGGCGTATTCTACGGCTTTGGAACGGCAGACAGACCCAATTTCGCGCTCGAGGTTGCGGACACCCGATTCGCGCGTGTAGGACGTTATGATTTTGTCCAGGACGTCGGTGGGGATGTTGATGTTTTCTTGGTGGAGGCCGTTGGTTGTGATTTGCTTTGGGATGAGGTGGCGGGCGGCGATGTGCCGTTTTTCGAGCGTCGTGTAGCCCGAGAGTTGGATGGTTTCCATGCGGTCGAGGAGCGGTGGGGGGATGGTGTCGAGCGAGTTTGCCGTGGCAATGAAGAGGACTTTGGAGAGGTCGATGGGGATGTTGACGTAGTGGTCGGTGAAGGTGTGGTTTTGTTCGGGGTCAAGGACTTCGAGCATGGCTGCGCCCGGGTCGCCGTTGTGGTTCATCATGCCCAGTTTGTCGATCTCGTCGAGGAGGAACACGGGGTTTGCAACGCCCACCTTCTTTAGTCCGTTGACGATGAGTCCAGGCATGGCGGCGACATAGGTCCTGCGATGACCACGAATCTCCGCCTCGTCGCGTACACCACCGAGTGAGATGCGGTGGAACTTGCGACCAAGTGCTGTAGCGACCGACTTGGCCAGCGACGTCTTTCCTACACCCGGAGGACCAACCAGCAACAGAATCGGCGACTTGTCCACCATGCGCTTCTTCTCCAACAGCCGCATCTCAGCCTCTGTTGGCTCCTTTGCGACCTTCTCCTCCGGAGCCTGCTCCTTCTCCTTGGCTTCACCAGTCTCGGTCAAGGCGCGGATCTGATCGTCAATGCCCCTGTTCGCCTGCTCCTTGAGCTTGAGAACCGCCAAGTACTCCAACAGCCTCTTCTTAACCTTCTCCAGACCAAAGTGATCATGATCGAGTTGCTCTTTTGCCCTCACCAGTGTGTTTGCGTCTAGCTGGTCGACCGTCGTCTTGGACCACGGTATCTCGGCGAGGTTCTCGAGGTAGTTTCTGCAGACCTGGTACTCAGCCTGTGCGGGGTTCATCTTCTGCAATCTCGAAAGCTCGCGCTGTGCCACCTTGTTCGCGTCTGGTGATAGCTTAGCATCCTCCAGCCTCTTCTTCAACTCTTCAATCTCGTTGGGCTCTTCCTCGCCCGCCTGTTGTTGGCCGCCGCCTGGGAAGCCGCCGGGGAAGCCAGCAGGCAGACCACCTCCTGTCTTCCCCCGTCTTGTGAGCACCTCCTGCTGTAACCGTCGTAGAGTGTCCATGTCCAAACTAGTCGTCGGTGCCTGTGTGGTTGTAATCGTCATTCGTGTGTTGCCTTGGATATTGTTGATTTGGCGTTGAAGAATCTCAATCACCCTGTCCACTCTCTCCTTGACATCCACGGCTGCCAGCACGCGCAGCGTCTCCTCATGTGTGCAGTCGACGACATTCGCCATAAAGTCCGCCAGTGCGCCCGCCTCGGACAGATCCTTCCTCGTGATGAACGTTTCGAGTCTTCGCGCGACAATCGGCGAGAGTGTGACCTGCGGCGTGCGCGGTAGGATAGCAGAAAGCCGGACGAGGGCGAGCAGCTCACGCGACAGCTGCTTGAGGAGGTTAAACTGGTTCAAGAGGTCTGAACTGGCAATGTCGACTACACCCGTTAGCTTTTATCCAATCCCACTTCAGCCAGGTCATACATACCATATTCATCTGCCGCGACCAACTCCCCCTCGAAATACGGTCTCTCCTGTACAACATCCACGACCTGCACCCTCTCCAGCCCCTCAACAACAAGGCACAAGTCGCCCTGTTTCCGCCCCTGCACCCCACTAACCTTGGCCACACAAGCCCAGCCAAAGATATCCTTCTTAGACGCGCGTATGGGGTCACTCTCATACATGGTCTTGTCCCCCCTCCTCGCATCGTCAATCAACAGCTGCCCATCCGGGCTCACAGTACTCGAATTCAACGGCACACACGCCACCGTAATCGACGCATCCGGTCTCGCCGTCGGACTGACGCTATAAATCTTCGCAAGTATGGCGGCGACATCGGAGCGGTTGGTGATGGGGATCTTAAGCGTGGTGTTGGGTAGCACGGCGAGGGGCGGCGCAAGGGGAATCAGTGGGAGCACTTTCGTGCTTGTTTTCGAGGATCCTCTTCCCATCATGAGGTCGTTTGGTGGGTTTCTCGTATAATGGTATATTGGTGGTGAGAGAGAAACAGATGCGACGAGTTGTAGTTTGGTGTCGCGTTGGTTGGTGGAGGCTGCGGAACCGCTAGGTTGAATGAACCGTGGTTGGCGCTGCGTTATGATGATGGATGGAGCGGCGCGCAGCTAAACTACGGGTAACGGAACACGGGCGCGCTGTGAGTCTACCTAGGTTACGAGCTAGGCAAGTCTACGAGCTAGGCAAGTCTACGAGCCGAACGAATCTACGTTCTACGAGCCAAACGTCTCTATAAGCCCTGAAAGTCTACTAATCAAATCTCTCAATCACAACAACTTCAAACAAAAAAGCAACCACGTTCAAAAAAGCAAGCATACTTATCTCCCCTCTCAGCCATGGCACCGAGTCGTTTCCAGAAGATGCTGTCATGAGATGATCGGTCCGGTCGCGGCCCCGGGGACCACCACCCGGGGCCATGCCGAGGTTAATCAGCGCCACAAGTCTGAGTCCGCCTATGAATCGAGCGCTGCTGTGTCTATCACATCGCATCACATCACATCACAGCTGTAGATCGTCGAGATGAGGATCTCGCAGTGTAATAGACGGTGATCATTCTCTCCCATTGTATCGGGTTGGATTGCGATACTGCGCGAGACGCGTACCATGGCTTTTGCAGGTCAAGGTTGGAGGAAGCTAATGGCCGAGGATGCCTAGATGGGGATAGTGCCAATAACTGCGCGGTCTAACCGGATTTGTCTCGGCATCATCCGGACAAGGTTGCATCCAGGTCAACACCATGCCTCACATTTGCGTTGTGATACATGTGTTATGATGTACTATCTCATCACTCTTAGCTTTATCAGGGTGTGTAGGAAAGTAACTGATTTATATATACTTTTTGTGCTGCATGCCAAAACCCTTCCGCATGCAGATACAGATAACTGCCATGTTTTCCGACGGCACACATCCAAACTGCGTTCAACTGACAAGCCGTGCAAACGTGTTTCTCGCCTCTATACATGCACTATCTAGATGCGACAGTCCAGCTACTAGCATAGAGACAGAATCAACGGGGATCATCACAAAAACCCCATCTGAACATCACTCAACCCATCGTAGGCGTGTTCCTGCCATGCGTAGCAGACATGCTGTAGGGAGCCTTGGAAAAACGACATCAGTCACAAACATCCTCGCGGTATCGTTACGAATGAGTGGCTTACCAAGACTTTCTTCGCATTGCAGATGCGCCAAGCAAGGTTCCTGACCGTACCATCGGCCTGAACTACTTCGGGTGCAAACTCAATACCAAACCTGCGAGTCATTAGCCCGGTGCTCAGAACAATTGGAAAAGGGAAATCAACATACATCTGATGAACTGCAAAGACGACGCGCCTGGCGAACTTTCCATCTCTTTCGACCAGGCTACCAAAGGGCTCCTCGGATGTGGACGGCGCAATCTCCGGGTCGCGGTCGAAGCAGTTTTGGATGATGGGAAGTAGGGTTTCCTCGACAGCACGATGGATCGTGCCGTTGTCGTCAACCTCCACATCAGTCTCGTCGAACTTTGGTATCCGGATCTCAAAGGCTTGCGATAGCGCCATGACGTGGTGCCGACCGCCATGGTGGTATCTGAATTCGAACACACCCGTGGTCCACCAGAGCTTGTCACCATGGAACTCCACTTCACCAGTGTAGCAGTCGGTCGACTCTTCGTCATTGTCATTGGCAGGTAATAGTTTGTCGGAAACCAGGATGCCGTCATCAGCACGTGTCGAGTCAAACGCGTCGGGATTAGTTGCTACCCATCGCCCATTAGAGCTGATGCGTGTGACTTTGCGTGATTGATTGTCCGTGACCATGTACAGACCTATCCAGTCCTTCTTGCTGTGGTTGAGAGGTGCTTGCCAGCGAACCCTGATAGGAGCACCATACTCAAGGCACAGTGTCTTGAAATCATTTGTGCGAATAGCCGGAGTCCTCGCAAGCTCTCCCTCACGACCGCCATTCTTCTGTTGTTCGACAGCCGGGGGCAAGGTAGTGCCTTCAATCTCTAGCTTATATTGCTTCAGATTCAAGCCAGACAGATCTTCTGAATGATGACGGCTGATGGGAATACGTGCTGGGTAAGACTTGAACAGACTTGTTGTGTCGTTGACGAATGTATCAACACTGCCAGCAAACTTTGACCTTGCACGATCCAGCATAGCTTCGATCGACTCCACGGTTGTATTGATGTACTGGTCGGCTGCGGACTGCCATTGGCGGACTGGGTCTGGTAGAGCTTGACGGACGGTTTTACTGACACCCGACATTTCACGCAGGTTCTCGCCGTACAACTACATCAACGTTAGTGTGTATTGAATAAAATAAGCGCATGACTGACCTTGATCACATGTGGCTTCTCCACGAATTGAAGAAAGGCGAGATTGAGGATATGGGCTGTTGTAGCGACATAGAAGACGGCCGGGCTCCATGTAATGATGGCTATCCCCCATACACCGGCAAGTCCAAGCACTCGCTCGGGGTTGTTGAGGAACCGGTATATGCCGTTATACGTGAGCGACTTTGATGGTGGGTCGAAGAAGAAGTCTCCGCAGAACCAGCCAAACTCTCCAAGAGACTCATAGATGCTCATGGCGGTCCAAACCTGGAGGGCAATCATACCAGCGCCCAGAACGTGTCGGAAGAGCGTGAGGCCAGTCAGTCCATCAGGGGGTAGACTGTACATCTTCCATGCAAGCGCTACAAAACTGGCGTGACTCATAGTCATGCTCAAATGGTAGAGAGACTTCCATTGGCGCCACGCCTCCTCCTTGGTGTCGCCGTACTTGATGAAGTGCTTGGTCCAGTTCTTCTTCTTGGACTGTCGGTCCAGAATGTAGCCAAGACCCAACGTATACCAGAGGCGCCATGCAAAGGCATTAACGAAAAGGAACGTTTTTACTGCCAACGTGTTTGGTGTAAGCGTTGCGAGACAGGTCATATAGAAAGAAAGCAATACTACCGTAACATCAATAGAGCGATGGAAGTCTGTGTTGTGAGGTCCTACGATGTGGTGCGTTGGGGCAGGTTGCTTTGTGGGATCGTAGACCGTTTCTCCGCCGAAATCAGACAGTCCTATCTTCGAAACGTCTTCCTGGGCTACATTTCCGGAGTTATGGCGCGTACGGCGGGGTGGGGGTGGGTTGTACAACTTGTCAATGTGCCTGCTCTCTACGAGGATCAAAAAGGCAAATTGGGCTGCGTGGGCGATGATTGATATGGCTAGTACTTTGTAACTGGCCATCATAAGGGCAATTCCATAGTACCCGGCATAGCCGACAGAGTACATGGGACTGCAAACAAGGCGTAATGTTAGCTTGAATCTCAACTAAGTCATTACAGAGCTTCTTACTGCGGTGCCATCTCGAAGACGCCATCGAATGTCAGGCTTTGGTCGATGAGGTAGAAGAAGTCACCCCAATACCACGCAAAGTCCTTGACTACTCTGTGGGCGTCTAATTTGACCCACAGATTGAATAGGAACAGAATGATACCCGTGGTCCATCGTAGAGCCCAGAGGAACCAGCTCTCTTGGGGCCGGTTGAAGCAGGCGAGGGCGAAGAGGCAGTATGACACAAAATCACACATGAGGATCAGGTCTACCACACGCCTAAAAACTAGCCATGTGTTGTACTCTAGGGGTGCCTCTTCGAACTTGTAATCCTTTGGAATCTTGGTTTCCAGTTCACGCTTAAGGAGCTTGTATAGGGCTGGGTTTGGGTTCTTGCCCGTTTCAGGCTTTTCGAAGATATGGCTTTGTTTCGCCCATAGGACGAGACGATTGTGCTTGGACTGGCCATCAAGCAACCAGCCAATGCCTGCATTGTAGCCGGCGCGCCAGAACAGGAAAATGATAGCGAATATGGGTACGCGGGCGCTTTTGGGCAGGGCATAAAAGGTCAAGATCAGGCTAGCAAGCACAGCGAGAACTGCTATGTCGGACAGGTTCTTGGGTTGCGAGGGGGAAAGAAGCTGCGATACCATATCGTGCGTCTGTGGGACAATGAAGACTGCATCGAAGTGTTAGCAGCGCTGACTTCACAGGTAAAGCCGTACGGTGGTTGTTTTGATACCATGTCGTGAGACATACCTGTACCATCCGGAGTTCTTCCATAAGTTCTTTTTTTGCTTTCGTCATTTTTATGATCCTTGTCTTCCTGATCATTCAGCTTCAAGACCTTTTGTTTAGCATCGTCTGAATTGTTGAGATGCAGAGGTTTGGCCGAGGGCCGTTCTCGTAGCTGGCTACCGTCGGCTTTCAAATCGCCAACATCAGCCATGGTGAACGAGGGTAATTCAATGGAAGAAATGTGCTCGTGGGAGCAAGTGGGTGAGGGGTTATTCCGTTGATATTGCCGAGACGGTTACGGCGCGAACGTGCCGCTACGCTATGCGAACACGGCGCAGTGGTGTGCTGTAAGAACTGCCGGGATAGAGCAAGGGAACCAATCGGGACACGACGGCGCGGTTTTGGCTCCGTTTCTTCCTGGTCGACAAAGATATCTTTTCTTTGACGGATTTACGGAAATGCGTAGAGTGTTGAACTCCAGCGGACGTGTTGATGTTGAAACGTGGAAGGGAGAAGTGTCGTGGTCAGTTGTCTGTGATGTGCCGGCAATGAGATTTGCGTTGGGATGACGGCACAATGTGGGGCTACCCTCGGCTTTGACCTAAGAGGGAAGCGATGGCCCGAGCACAACTGGCATGTGGCAGTAACACAAACTAATGGTATTCTACAATAATTACTACAAATTTTGCAAACAGTGAATTGCGTTTTTCTCTCAATCAATCCCGATTCCCACTGCCGGTGTCTCGAGAAGAGTCGTCAGCTCGCAGGGAAATACCTAGTACTCGCAGACGTAAGCGGTAGACTCCGCAACAATCAATTCAATCCGGTCACTCTCCTAGACCCACTTACCTATCTAGGTAGGGCTTAAACTCCTATAGGTAACTACTAGGCTTAAAGCGGTAATCAATCAATCCAATCTGAACCTTCTAGGACCCACTTAATTGATTGTTGCGGACTGTGGTAAGCGGAGGGGAGTGCCGTGGAAGAACATAGATGTCGAGACGCGGTAAGAGCCTTCACTAGTATTCACGGTGAATCAGGCTTCCCGTGCTCTGATTGGCCAGGCACTGATTAGTCAGCTGCTCCGTGCGCGCACCATAGATATTCTCACTCCTCCCGTAGCTCCAATACAACAAGTTCTCGCACGTTTTCTCCACCTTCATCAATAGATCGAGAAGGTGCATATGATGCACCAACAAGAGTGGGCCCGGTGCTATGCCGTGAGCGCATGTGCTGTCGGATGGGTAGGGGTCAAGTTTGTCCATCATGCCAATCCTTCTCATACAGATTTTGTCTTACTCCTCCTGAGCCGTCCGCCCATTTTCGATTTGACTGGACTATATTGTGGTGTAGTGTTGGCCCATGTCTGGCTCCCCGTTTCTTCGATGATCTTTGCAAGGGAGCTTGGACGCCGTGATCGAGCGATACCAGCATCGGTAGCACGTCGTCCTTCGATGAGCTCCAGCTCCCTCATCTTCAACACTGTAATCGCCAACGAAGAGCGAAGATGGAGCTCAGACAGTTGTTGGCTGATCAAATCTCCCTGTTGTGTAGAAATAGCTTGAGGCGCAAAGACTGCAGCCTCGGGGCTCAGCGGGTTTTGCATCTTGGCGTTGGGAAATGTGAGAAAGGTTCCAGTGTGCTCGCCACTGATAGGGGTATGTACAGACACGTCCACTTGCCCAGTCATATCCATCTCTGAACGCTCATCTGGCGCAATATCGTCGGCGTAAAATGGGTTGTTACTTTGCTTCTGAAACGGAGAGAAGAGCGTGTCCTCTGTCCAGCCATTCCAGCTCAGCTCTGTAGGCTCAGCCTCTTCGGGGTGCGAGTATACTGTTGAACTTGAAGCGTAGTCGGGTATAGTCGACGGAACGACTGCCGATGGTGAGGCGTACGTTTCGGTAATGTGGATGTTCGTTTTGCAAGCCTGCAAATTGATGAGGAATGCCTGCTCGTCCCGCTCACGGTTCTTGATCTCTTTCTCCAGCTCACGCTTGACTTGCTGTATCTTCTTTTTCTTCTTCCGTGGAAGCGAGGAATTTGTTATCAAACGCCGGTCGATTTGAGCATGCTTCTTGCGTAACGCTTGCAGATAAGTAACACAATTGGCAAGGCCATTCTCCAAGACGTCTCTTTCGCAATGGAGCCTTGAAAGTTCGGTAGGTCGTTCGATGGTTTGATTGATAGGGTAGAAGTCATGTCTAACAGAGGTGTTCCAAGGTGATTGATCTGCACCACATTCCATGTCGAGATATGAGACTAGAATGGTAGTGGAATGTGGTCTTGGAGGCTGAGACGGTAAGCCAACGATGTTAAGTCTAGTAGAACAAACCAAGGCGCACGCTTGGGCGGTCTACGGCCACTTCTTTGATAATAACAAGCCAGCCCATCTAGATTCAGATAGAGTGCATGACATCTTGGACAGGGCTTATCCGATACTGGAAATTCATAAATGCAGCGAGAACAATGGGTGTGGTGTGGTCTCTAGAGGGGTAGTGGCGTCACTACTACACCAAGTTCAGGGCAAAGGCGATTGGAAGCTCAGACACCTGCCCCTTGGTAATCACGCAGAAGACACAAAGCATGTGCCAGTAGAACTGAGCGCGACATCTGTCATTGTTAGAGAAGCCACAAAGGGATCAGAATCCGAAGATTGCGGAGAAACCGATTCGCGTCGCCGAAATTGGAGGCGTTCTTCGCCAAGCCCAGTTACTGCCTTTGTCATAGGTGGTCCAGGTTCAGCGCCAGACGACCCAGCCAGATGGATGAAGAGGCATGAGCCGCCTGTGGCAAGAAAGCCGCCCTTGATGATATCTGAATAGGCCCGGATGGCGGAGATGACATTGAAGTTTAGATGAATATGACCGCTTGGCGTGGTGTTGCGAGTGCAAAGTATGTAAGGGGGAACCACGATATCGGTCAGCGTATGCATAGATGCAAGGAGAGACTCGTCCGACCCTTCGATCACATGCTTCGTTGTCAAATTGGGCATCCAAAGTCGCAATATCCTACGGTATACAACGTTTGCTGGTTTCATTGAGCGATCCCAGGTGTTGGTGGATGAAGTGATGGTGCGCTTAACAGGGAGTACCTGAATATGTGTAACGTGAGGACGGACAGACCGGTGTCATTACATAATTTATGGATACCTTCACGGTCCCAAAGAATGTCAAGAGTGATGGGCATGCGCGGAGATGTCCGTGCGCTACAATTCCGCTCGTACCCCGCGGACCTGGGGCCAGCACTCCCATCCAGTGCTGTCAACTAGCTTCGCGTCGCGCGCGTCGAGCTTCCTCAGATCCTCAGATCAGCAGCTCACAACTACCTAGCATCATTGCCAGGGCATCTCCACTTATACATCTACCACCGCTTCGTTGCGCCACTACTGCTTACTTCCTTTCCTTTTCTGCTTGGCACTAACTATTGTGTACCTGACAGTTTCTTTGGACCGTCTGCGCCTCCACTTGTATACGCTCGCGTCGCCAATCACAATGAGCTCATGACCCACCATGAAGTCTTCGATTACTCTGCATCATGTGTCAACATGTCCTTCCGGCTCCGCTGTTGTATGTCTGTGACGGCATCGCCTTTTCCAGGCTTTAGTAACCCCGCATTGCCATAATCCCTGGTAGGACTCACGGCATACTGTTTGTAGCGTGTGACAACAGCGGTTCGCAGCCAAAGAATCACCCTCTGCCGAAGATGTTCCTGCATGGCATTGATCACCCGTATTTGCGCTGAATTGTAGTGGATGCGAGCTTCGGTCTTGGTCCTCACTCGGCATACGATGACGTCACCACTGTGACATCGTAGCTGGGGCCAACGTTTCCTCTACGAACCATACTGTTGGACGCTGCCGGTACCTTTGTCATATGCTAGAGGGGCCGATTCGGATGAGAAGAAAATCCGCATGGCCATGTTGACAAAACGAGCACTTCCAACGTACCACTACAGACCGTGAGACTGCCAATTGGCCTGATTAGTCGTCTCGTTTCGACCATTAATACCGCCCGCTAGCTAAGCGGTACCTGCCCATTGACGAATGTGTTGCGTTGCACACTATTCCTTTCAAACACTCTGCCGGGCCATTAGTTACCGCCAGCTACCGTACTGCATAAGCGTCCGAGTACCCACATCCCACATTACGTACCTTGGCCCAGTATAAGTATCACGCAAACGGTAGACCGGCTTGCGCGGATCAGCCCAATTCATCTCAATACTCCATTTGACGCCTTGCAAGAACATGGCGACCAAGATCATCGACATTCGTGTCGATACTGCCGAGTCGGATATCTTAGCAGATATCAAAAAAGGCCTTCGACCTGAAAATGGCGGGGAAAAGAAGCTGCCCACATTGCTGCTCTACGAGTAAGCACCGTACACGACACATCCAAGATACAGGCTAATTTCGTGCTCATAATCTAGCCAGGAAGGTCTTCGATTATTCGAGAAGATCACATACCAGGAGGAGTGAGTAAAGCCCGTCCGCTTGGGGAGGGGGTTTAAGCTGATTCGTGTTCACAACCTCAGATACTACCTGACCAATGCCGAGATTGAAGTCCTTGAGACATATGCGGACAGCATCGCCGAGCGAATCTCATCACCCTCCATCATAGTGGAACTGGGGAGCGGGTAGGGTCCTGGCGCCCTGCAAAAAAAAAGACTGGAACGAGCTCTGTGCTTCGTGCGTACTAAGATAATCGCAGCAATCTCCGCAAAGTAAACATACTCTTGCAAGCCCTCGATCGCTTGGGCAAGGATGTCGAATACTATGCCGTCGATTTGTCTTTGCCAGAACTGGAGAGAACCTTTGGTCAGATACCCATAGGTAAGAGGCTTTCGTTTCGCAATGTACGAGGGGTGATGAGGTGGGGATGCAGTGCCATGTCTGGGGTTGCGTCAGTATAAGTTGCTGTACAGTTCAACGTGGTTCGGATATGCATGGGTCTGCATTTATGCGTCTAGATCCATCAACGGAAGGCGCTGTGGCATCGGCTTATCAATGCACGACTTCGCGACCACGTGATCTTCCACGGCTTCCGCTAACCACATGTACAGAGGGATACAAACACGTCAAGTGCTTTGGGCTGCATGGCACATACGACGATGCCCTTGGGTGGCTCAAGTCTCCAGCTATTGAGGCGAAACCGAAAACCATCTTGTGGTTGGGGTCTAGTCTGGGCAATTTCAAGCGGCACGAGGTACCGCCGTTCCTTGCCGGATTTGGCGAAGTCCTGCAGACGGGTGATACGATGCTTATCGGAATCGACTCCTGCAAAGATCCTGAGGTAAAGGTCGTCCCGCTTTACCGGCTGTACAACTGCTGACTCTGTGCCTGCGCTAGCGTGTATTTCACGCATACAACGACCGCAACGGTGTAACCCACAGATTCATACTCAACGGATTGAAGCACGCAAACGCTCTCATGGGTGAAAACGCATTCAACTTGGACGACTGGGAGGTCATCGGCGAGTATGACAAGCAAGCCGGACGCCATCACGCTTTTGTCGCACCACGTAAGGATGTCGTCATCGATGGGGTGCCTGTCAAAAAGGGCGAGAGAATTCGCATCGAGGAAAGCTACAAGTACAGTGGTGAAGAAGCGAAAGAACTCTGGGAAATGGCTAAACTCACTGAAAACGTTGTGTGGCCAAATGCCAAAGGCGACTACGGTGAGTGCATCGTCTGCAACCAATCACATCACATTTCTCATCTGTGCAGGTCTCCACTTTGTTTCCAAGCCAGCGGTTTTCTTCCCCACCAAGCCTGAGGAGTATGCTGCAAAGCCAGTACCCTCTCTTACTGAATGGCAGGAGCTTTGGAAGGCATGGGACGCTGTTTCCAAACAGATGATCCCAGAGGAGGAGCTGCTGTCCAAGCCCATCAAACTCCGCAACGAATGCATCTTTTACCTAGGACATATCCCCACGTTCCTCGATATTCACATTGCTCGTGCTACGGGCAAGAAGCCGTCTGACCCTGCCTACTTCTGGAAGATCTTTGAGCGCGGCGTGGATCCAGACGTGGAAGACCCAACGCGATGCCACGCGCATTCGGAGGTGCCCGAAGAGTGGCCACCACTGAAGACCATTCTGATGTTCCAGCAAAGCGTACGCGACAATGTTGAAGCTTTGTACAGCTCTGGTGAGGCTGAATCCAACGGCCGTGTGTCTCGAGCACTATGGCTTGCTTTTGAGCATGAAGCCATGCACCTGGAGACGTTGCTCTACATGCTGATCCAGAGCGACAAAGTCTTGCCGCCTCCCGGGACCACGGTTCCAGATTTCGCAGCGTTCGCAGCACGCTCCAACAGTCTAGCGGTCGAGAATGAGTGGTTCACCATTCCGGCTTCAGATGTCAGTGTGGGTCTCGAGGATCCCGAGGGCGACTACGACAGCCAGCGTTACTTTGGATGGGACAATGAGAGACCACATCGCTCAACGCACATCAAGTCTTTCCGCGCGAAGGCCCGCCCAATCACGAATGGGGAATATGCGACGTACCTTTCCGAGACAGGAAAGACAGGTATGTGATCCCCGCAGCACACAAAATGGCGTTGTCTCAGTGGTTTTCCATATATCGTGCGTCGTTGTTTGGGATCCTGTACAAGTGATACGAAGCGCTCTGCACGCTTTGGTCCGGCGTTTGCTACCATAAATAATTTCACTGACTGAACTTTCTGACTCTGTATATCTAGTAATACCCGCGTCGTGGTGCGAGCAGCCGTATTACAACGCCAAGGCCACGAGCACAGCAAAGAGGGACAGCGTAATCAACGGCCATCAGAACGGCACCAATGGCTCAACTACCGGCATCACAGATGGCAAGTTCGTGCGCACTGTGTTCGGCACTGTTCCTTTGAAGTTGGCCCTAAACTGGCCTGTCGTTGCATCCTACGATGAGCTGGCTGGATGCGCGCAGTGGATGGGAGGCCGTATTCCTACCATGGAAGAAGCACGAAGCATCTACAGCTACGTCGAAAGCATGAAGGAGGAGTTTGAAAAGTCGCTTGGGAACACAATCCCCGCGGTCAACGGGTACGGTGTATCTTATTCGACAGCTGTGCACAATTAGCTAACATCCCGCAGCCATCTCATCAATGAGGGCGTATTCGAAACACCACCATCCAAGCCTTTGTCTAATGGCAACTCTGGCGCAGGACCTAGCCTCAATCCACATGATCTCTTCATCGATCTTGAAGGGACTAACGTGGGCTTCAAGCACTGGCATCCAGTCTCAGTGGCCGAGAGGGGCAATAAGCTCTGTGGCCAATCTGATCTGGGCGGTGTCTGGGAGTGGACTAGTACTGTGTTGGAGAAGCATGACGGCTTCGAGCCGATGGAGTTGTACCCGGGTTACACAGGTATGAGCATAGCCGGCGGGCATCAGCTTCTCAACAGGGTCCAAGACGTCGCTAACCGCAAACAGCCGACTTCTTCGATGGAAAACATAACATCACGCTCGGAGGATCGTGGGCGACTCATCCGCGCATTGCTGGGCGCAAGACGTTGTAAGTACATGTGGCTGTGTTAGCTCCAGATGACGTCACTAACGTAGAGAAGTGTCAACTGGTATCAGCGAAACTACCCCTACATGTGGGCTGGTGCACGCATCGTCTCAGATGTGTGATGAGTACGGCCCGCACGTGATTTCGCTGTTCGCTGTTCGCTGATGCGTTTGCTGTCTCAGGTCTTGCTGGGGTTGCGACGCGTCAACGCGAGAAATCGCGATCGGTCGGTCCGCCGCATCCTTGACCACCATGATGACGAGTCGTCTAAGGGAACTGAACTTCTTGCATTCTACAATTACACACTCTCTTTAACTTGCCGTCTGCTGTCGCTACAGGCTTTGTCTTCTCACAATTGGGTTGTTGCAGCCACTCGCTCGCTCTTTCCCACCATACACATAGCTGCAACTATGCTTACCTAATCCAACGTGCACTTTGACTCCCCGCACTACCTGCGGAAACATTGCCAATTGAAATGCAGACCCACCTGACATTCACTTCGAGCCCGCTGTCTGCGAATAATTGTTGTCACAGGCAACCAAGGCAACCATTACATTATCTTGCTCATCACCCACCCATTGAAAAGCACCCGCCCCCCACTTCCCCTCATCCAATAACCACCCAACCTCAACCACGATTGTTCAACTAGAGACACGTCCCGAGAGCCATAATGGTCAACAGTTTGCTGTTTAAGTGGGAGGATTCCCAGGCCCTCAAGTAAGTTGGCTGACCGCAATCAACGTTTGTTTGGTTCGCAGCCCGGCCCTCAACCACTAAACACGAGCAAGCGCTGACGAAATAACAACAGACATCATTGCGGGTTCTGCGAACGCCCTCTTAGCCACCCTGGCGCGAGGGCTTCTTGCTTCGGAAAGCACGCAGAGCCATGTGTGCGCTTCCATCAGGTCCGTCCCCGCCGCATCTGATGCTAGATATTAATGGTATACTGACTCTTTCCAGGCCATGTTTATGCGTCTGCGCGGCCACACTTGCGCCCACTGCATCTCAATTGATGAATCTCACTACAAGCGGCACCATGATATTGCTGAGCAACTGCGAGCTGTCTATGACAGTTGCAGCGACATCAACTGGGGCATCGTACCATCCAACTCCGACAACGATAGCCGCGGAAGAGTGAAGGGATTGGCAGATGCATTGGAACAGGATGAGAACCAAGATCCCAACCAGGACCCCGGGGATACACCGGCGTCAAAGCGCGAGAGGAAAGACGCGAAGCGACTGGCCAGAGCGGCGAATAGATCCAAGGTCATCACCCAAGATGAGATCAGGCACATTGACAACATCATTCATGCTTCCCATGGATTGACAGGTAACGACACTGATGGACCACAAAATGCAGAAGAAGTTGAAGACATCGAGAGGCAGCTTCGTGTAAGTGACTGCCGTGGTGTTGTCCTGGCGCGTATCTTTCGATTTGCTAACTATTCTATAGTATCACGCCCAGGTTTATAACACTCAGGTAGACCGCAGAACGCTTAGAAAGCTCTCTGAGGTTTGTACTGAGACGTACGTCGATTTCGATGCTGAGATGAGCCGGATCTTGGACGCTTTCCGCATCAGCGAATTACTAAGGCGTAATACCAAGACCAGGGGTCTGCAGGGAAAAGAGTTGAAGACCTTTCTGACACTTGTTGATGGGCTCAGGCAGGCGCTTGTTGAGGACATCATTCTAGTCAAGAAAGACGCCGCCGAGGTGCGCATGCGGCGAGCAGGCTATCTGAGATACACCAACAAAACCGCGTACGAAATCGTCGAGGAGAGATATACCGAAAAAGACTGGAAACCCGGCGAAAAGTGGATCCCAGGCGCACCTGCTTCCAGTGATGACACAACCCCGGTGGACGAGTGTGTGCCGACGGCAAGGTATGTTATGGCCTTGGTCCTCTCTCCAATCACAGATCTAGTGTTAGCGAGTAGCATCAAAAAAGTAAGAAAGACTAACTTTGAGTAGTGAAGAAAAAGAGAACCCGACGCCACAGCGTCCTAGGAATTCCTACGGCCCTGATCGACGTCATCTCCGGAGCACACACAAGCGTGTCAACGGCGAAGATGGACTTTACGAGGACACCATCGAACCCTATCGCACTCCGCTATTACCACTACCGCACGATCCCACACCCGGCAAGAAGTCCGCTGCTGTGAGAGTGCTCAGCATCAAGACGACAAAGTGCGCGTCGACCCCGGTGCAAACTTCAGATAGCCGGAAAAAGGATCGTTCACGCCCAGTACCCGATGGCTGGGAAACAGTCACCAATGGAGCCACACCGACGAACATAGTAGCTAGACCCCGCGTCTGGGGTAACATCCCAACCCAGCGACTGGCTGAAGCAACTCAACCCACTCTAGCTCTACCGCCGTCCGACTTTTCTGGATTTCCACCCCTTCGGTCTGATTCGTGGAGTCCTGCTGATAATTCTGTTAGAGCCCCAGAAGTGCAGCCTCCTTCGGCGTGGACCGCACAAGAACCCGAGGGCTTTGTTGTAGAGTCTAACGAGGTTGCTCAAGACCAACCAGCCATCTCACAGAAGAAAAAGGCCAAAAAGGCGCGCGAAGCCAAGCGCAAGGCTAAGAAGTTAGCGCTAATGGAAGACACTCTGGACGATGCATCTTCTCTGGCTGAAACTGTCGAAGCCACTGACGATACCGACGCTGTCTTGACCGCTGCAACCACACCACTCGAAGATGAGCACAAATTAGAAGATTTGACTTGTGCCAAACAGGTCTCCCAACATATCTTCCAGCAGTTACACAGCATTAAGAACGACCGTGAGGTTGAACAAGTAGCAAAGGAAGTTGCTCAAGCTCCAGAGCTTTCGGAGAAGACAGTGTTAGTGACCAAGCCTGCGTCTCCACCGATCACCACGTACGGAAAGCACAAGGATTGGCTTAGATTTTTGCACCATTTGGACGTGGATCGACTAAGCAGCCCTATCCCACCATCTTGTAGCGGCTGCTCGCATGCCATCTCTTGTGCGTTCGAGGACAACGAGATACCGGATTGTCCGTTCCATGAGCCTTTCTGCAACTGCGCCGATCCTATGAGGGATCAGTGCTATCTGGTTCTGCCATCCAGTGAGATGTATAGTACGGGACCGTATAACCGCATGCGCGCCGAGAAGCTCATGGCCCTGTATGAGTCAGACGAGCGCACCAAGGGCCGTCTGATGCTCATAGACGATGATATGCTGGATTACCTCCTGGACAGTGCGATGACCGGATTTTATAACCGTGACCCAGGTGACATGCCTCCATGCCTTTCTAGAGAATATTACGATAGCATCAACAAGCGCATCCCCACGCCACTCATAGAGCAGGAGTGCCGCTTCCAGAAACTTTGGGTTAGGAACAACATCCTCAAGAAGCCTCTCACGCAGGACATGTTGCGAGACATTCAGAGCAACAAATTCGAGTGCACAGGTAAGCAGGCCATGTGCTACTGCCGCGATGAATTCCGAGAAGAGATGACGACAGCAAAAGACATCATTGTTTGCTCTTACGTAGACTGCAACATTCAATACTTCCATAAGTCGTGCGTCAAGAACCTAGGTGTCGAGAAGGTATCACACTGGTACTGTTTCGATTGCGCGCAGCAGATGAGGGAAGATGCATACGACGCGCTCGATAACGAATTCGATACCCAGATGAGATACAAGAAGCAAGACATGAATGTGTCCGCTCTGCAACAGGAAGCCAAGGAGCAGTTTGACAAGAAGCGTGAAGAGCTGATGCAGCTATCCGACGAAGAATTTGTAAAGCAGATGCCACCCAACGTTCGAAAAGCCATTGCCAGGCACGGCGGTCTCGAGATCCTAACCGGCTCGCTTAAGAAGCGCATTGTAGAGTCGTAGAGGCAGTTCGGGGAGGGTTGTCTTGTCAGCGACAAATGAGAAGTTGTTTCATTATGTCATTGTGAGCCGTACCGTGGTTCGCGGACTGCATTTCTGAAGATTTTGTAAGATGTATTTTGGTAGGATCCACATGATGTGTCGAATCAGGTCCGCGCTAGGTGTAATTGTAGGTACCGAGTGAATGCAATGATATAAGGTAATATAATGTAAAGAATTGTATGAGAGTTCTATTACAAGTGTTCAGCTGTGGTTCATAATTATCTGCACTCGGAGTGCGCGTTTCGAGCCAGTATGTAATCTCGTACTTTTCCTGCTCCCCTTCTTTTCATCTCATCTCAGACTCAAGCTTACAGTTCTCGCATCACACACAAGACTTACACACTACACACGCGCACGAAAGCAAAGATCTGAAAGCCTTTCCAAGCACACACACACCACCACACCACCACCACAAAGACACACCAAAATGTCTTCCAACCCAACCCCAACCCCACAGCAACAGCAAACCACCTACACCCCCACCACCACACACCCCGCAAGAAAAGACAGCCTCCCCCACCACCGCGCCCGCCTCTCCCGCAAACAGCACGAAAAACCCCTCCAACGACTCCGCCTCCAACTCTTCGACAACGAAAACGTCCTCTATGCCGCCTTGGTCCAACAAGGGGGTGTAGTACCCGCGCGTGCGGGCGACGTTGTATGCGGCAAACGGCTGGATAGTTTGACGTATCATCGCGCTCATCTTGGGCGTGTTTGGGTGGAGAGGGAGGTGGAGAGGGGGATGTGTGGGGAGATGGATGGGGAAGATGGAGAAGAGGGGGAGGATGGAGATGAAGAGGAGGATTTGGAGAGGTTGGCGCTTTGTAGGGTTAGTTGTCGGAGTTACGAATATGAACGGTTTGTGGCGGAAATGGGGGAGGGAGATGAGGATGTGGAGGAGGAGGATGAGGAGGATCTCGCGCTTTGCAGGGTCCCACATCATACCCGCGACTACTCGAACTTGAGTGACGGGGATTACGACACTGGGGACGATGAGGATGAGGATGAGGATCTGATGGGTTCGTTGGCGCTTTGTGCGCTTGATAGTATGGAGATGCATCGGAGTAGGCAGAATAGTGCGGGTAGTGGGAAGAAGGGAAAGGGGCTGGTGAAGAGGGCTATTGAGATGGTTTTTAAGCGCGGGGAGAAGGGTGAAGATCAGGGAATAGGTGCATAGCGTTGTCGAGTATTGGACAAGTAATTCTTTTGGTATGAGAAGTTAGAATTTTGGAATTACATTTTTACTTGACTGCTTTGTGGAGGAGCGCGGAGTGAGTAGATTTCTTGTGGTCAATTTCTACATACAAACTCCTTTTTTTACCAACGCCTCTCGAACGTGTTGTATTCTTCGTCCCACATATGCTACGTCATCGCATCCGCAGGTACATACATTACCGTTACCAATTACCATAATCCCACGTAACCCCACCTCACTTCATCTCAACGGCCAATAACGACAGCACCTACACATGTTTACTCTCATACGTAAACAGCGAGAAAAACATCCACCTTTTACTATCTACCTTCCGCTCACGCGCCCGGCGTGCGGGGTGTTTACAGGTATCGCTATCAACCGTAAAAAGCGATATACAATGCTTGCCCCGTTTATGACTTGCTTGAGCATGCGGAATTGCAGTCGCGATGTCGCTATCGCAGTGGGCGCGGGTGGGTGCCGTTATCGTCCTCATTTCCAATATCATTGGCGTTGTGCTGGTATCTAGCGTGATAAGTCGGCGGAGAGGGCCTTGGACGAGGTATTTCGGGCGTTTCAAGTTGAGAGATGCGACATCGCTGTATTGCAAGTCTAGTATTCAGTAATTGCAGACGCAAAAGCCGAAGATTTAGATATTGATGGATAGCGGTTGGTGCAGGTGGTGGTGGCGCTGGTTGTTTAGGTGTAGGACTACTAACTTGCCGTCGCCCTTCAGTTGGCCATTCGTGGGCTGTCACGAAGCTATCGTTGGAGGCAGAAGATTGGTCTTCTTCAGGTATGTCCCAATCGGACGAATCGTATTGACTCGAGTGCTGGGTGTTGTCGAGCGGTATTCGAACTCCTGGGCTGGTCTTACTGTTATCCCACCTGGCCGTGTCTCTAGGTAGTCTTGGGCCCACTGTTCCGGAAGACAGCGTTGCCCTAACCCCACCTGCAGAACTATCGCAGCTAGCATACTGCTCATCGCGGGAACCCGGGTATCGTGAGCCACTGTCTTTTAGAAAGACAGAAGACGGTGTTTGGCAAGTTGAGCGAATTCCTGCATCTGGAGCTGGTCCTCCTCCCAGCGGTCGCCGCTATACATAAAGCGGTGGCCACCATTGAGGATCTGATACGTCTACGTGGAACACACTCAGCCGATGCTTTATCGGGTCTTCCCCGTACGATCGCGCCTCCAGCATTATTCTTACGCAGATATCGTCACCGAAGCCCTCGCTGGCTAGCCGTCGATCTAGCTCGCAACCCAGCGGCGCTGTTCTTGCGATAAAGCATATGAGGAACCTTTCTGCCTGGCTTTGTGGACCGAAGTAATGTCGGAGATACTGGATAGCATGCTTGAGGTTGGCGTCTGCGGTATATCGCTTCTCCAAACCCCTGTTGTTTCCATCGACCATTTTTATGTATAGTTCTGCCATTGACGATATGAGTTTGTTTTGTAGCTTTGGGAGAATAAGCTGAGCTGCAAGAGCCCATGTCTGCGCGAAAACGAGGAGAAAGTCGGTAGTACCGATATGACTAGCGAAGACAGAGAGTGATTCATCGCCATCGAGGTAGGTTAGTACAATGAGAAACGGCTTGAAGTACACATCGGGTAGTGTCGCGTTTGGTGGGATGCTACCAATTTGAGGGCAGCGTTCTCGTATCTGATCGTTGAGTCTGACATGAACGAACTGACCACCGTCGGATGCGACTGCAACGATAACACCCGTGTTGGGGGTCGTATCTGTCATGTTTAGCGCATGCAATACCCTTCCAGATGCTAGGCACCCGCCTTTTATAAGCTATCGGATTGTCTTGGCTGTGTCTTAGTAGTTTGCACATCAAAGACTGATTATGATTCGTTTGCCCGGGTGATGAAGACAAACCATGTATTCTTTGACAGTGAAACTGTGTGTTCGATATTATATGCTTTGTTGAGATCAAATCAAGACAGCGTTCCAGATGTGTCATTACCAACCCCCATGTTAGAGACTGCATATTTCTATGGCTCTAACTCAAAAGTCTGCATATCTGCGGGTATCGCATTTACCAGCGATGACTCTCGTAAGATCGCTCAGGACTTTTGTCTCAGCATGTTCTTCCAACGGCGCACCAATGGCCTCCAAAGGTACGTTTTCCCGTCGAGCTGTGAGTATGCCACGCCGATCAATCCGCCAACGAAATGAGCCTGCTGACGTTAGAAGGCATGATGATATGCAGGATTACGAACTTACCGCGTGACCGAATTTCACAAAGGTATATCCACGGACCATGCCAACGAAATCGAAAAGCAGGATAGCAGGTAGGACATACTGCGCTTCGAAGTGCACCGGGATGAACATGATCCCAAGTCCAGCAGTGGGATACTGCATGCAGAAGATACCCAGGAAACCAAAAAGCGCACCCGAAGCGCCTCCGCATTTGATGAATATCTCTGGAATGGCACCTTTCTGGGTGGGTATCAGAGTGGCCAGATGTTGAGCGTAACCAGAAAGTACCCCTGTCGATAGGTAGAAAGCCAAAGTGTGGTATGGACTGCCTTCGAACACCTGCGAATACCCAACTGGCGTCATGAAGTTGTTGAGAAAGTACATGTTGAAGAAGAAGTGCAGGGCTCCAGAATGTACAAACATTGAAGTGAACTGAGTATAGTTGAGATTCAAAACAGGCACGTGCCATAAGCCATCCCAAGCACGCGGCGCAAGAAACTTGCTCAGATGAACACCGGTGTTGGCTCCGATAATGCCATAGCCCAATCTTGAGATGGCATCACTGGAATTCCAGGCTCCGGTCACGACTTCAGTTGGTGTTGACGGGCCTTGCCTTCGCTTAGTCCATTGCGGCGCCTGGAGCCACCCGCCAGTAGACACAGACTCTTTCTTCAGCTCCTTCTTCGCTTCCCAAAAGGACAGGCCAACGAAGATACCACATGATACTGCAACAGCCCAAATCGCCGGACGGATATAATAGACATGAAGCTGTGGAAAGCTTTCTCGTATTTCGTCTATTGTTGGTTCAGGCGGTTCGGGTTGCTGTTGAGAATATTGGGGCGGTCTTGGTCTTCGTTGTGGATCATGTTGCACACGCGTGTGCGAAAAGCAACGTAGTTGCGATAGAGTAGGACGAAGGGCCGATATGGCCGGCATTCGAGAAGTTCGACATACCGACCGCATGGATGGCCCAGCAATCTTGAACGTGAACATGAGGTGCGGGGAAAGCGTGACGAGTAGTCGGGAGTGTGGGTGCGGGTGCAATGGCGGAGGTTTGCACTAGGCGACGATCGGGCCGACTAGTTATCATGTGGCCCGTGCGTTGTGCCTGAGCACATTCGTCGTAGTTTAGACGGACATCACTCAACCACCTGAGTTTTTGTTACAAGATGCAAGTCCGGAAAGCACTATATAAAGCACCGGATATCCTGTTCTTGCGGCTTACAAGTACTATGGTATAGTCTCTGAACACAAAGACCCACCACAGCCAAATTATCATCTCGAGGGCCAATCACAGCTCTCCTACTACAACTCGATTTCTTTTCTGTATTTTCGTCTCTCGTTAAATGCTAGGTGAAAGCGCATTTATTTTGCGCGAATGAGTATTGCGCTAATAACCATGGCTATGTTTCTGAATCAGTTATACAAAGTGACGTCTCCCACCAGTTTCTCTGCCTTTTCTATGGAGCAGTACCATTAAAACACACTTCACATGTCCTGATTATGGTAACGAGGTTGAAGAACCAAGGGACATCTAGCGCACTGCGAAAACGTGCAAGTCAAAAGGCGCATCACGTTCCCTTCTTTGCCACCTGGGTCTTTCACTCTCACGCCTGCAGCCATCCCATTAAGGAATAGTCTCACGTTCCCACCCTATTGAAATTGTGCTCTCAGCTCCCAAGCTCTCCTTCTTCGCACTCTCTACTACCACTCTCTTTACACCCCTTACTACTCTCCACCCAACCGCACGATGCTCCGACTGTTAAAAACAGCAGTTGGAGCTAACCGCTCCCCTGCGAGCCCAACGTACGTAAAACAAATGCGCCCTACACAAATAACAACTAAACAAAACAACAGCACCAACACCAGCGAAGGCATCCAAGTCCGAGTCGGGCGCCCAAATGCGCGCACACTCACCATTTCGCGCTCAGCGCTCAAGTCAAACGCAGTGCTACGCCGAACCGTGGTCCAGGGGTGCCACATCCTCAACGCCGACCCCATCGTCTTCGCCGTCGTGCTCGAGTACCTCGAGAGCCGGCGCATAATGGAGCGTATTCGACCAGGCACGCGGAACCCGTTGACGCAGCTGATCACGGGCGATGAGAGGTTGTGCAAGCTTGCTAAAGCATGGCATATAGGAGACATGATCCAGCTACCTCAGCTACAGAACAAGCTTCTTGATATGTTTCGTGAGGTGTATGTGCAACATCTGAAGACCCACACTCGAGTACCCCCTCAGGCTGAGCCGTTCGCCTACCTCGCCATGTATCTGGGGACGTTCTCAAAGATTGAGAGGTTCCTGATAGACTTCTATGCCGGCCTCTCGCGCTTTGGAGGTGAGTTCACGGATGAAGAACTTGAGCATTTTCCGTATGGGATTGCTATTGCACTCAAGCACCGCCGCGATCGCTTCGTCATACAGGGTTGGCTGGGCGATCTCATCGCAAACAACAGCGATTACTGCCACATCACCTGCTCTGAGCATGTGAACCATCTACCGCTGCAAGTCGCCCTGCCATATGCCCAGCGCTCAAACAGCACTGTCACGTCTACGCCTTCGCTTTCAGGTCGAACTCGCCGCGGTATCTCCATCTCCTCCATTGCCTCCTTCTTCTCCAGCTCCTCCAACCGCACCATCGCCGCTCCTACCTCCACCGACCTCATCCGCTCCTCCTCCTCCAACCTACCACCCCCTCCTCGCCGTGGAATCCGCCAGCTCATGCGCCTCTCCATCCCCGGTATCACAAGCCTAAACGGCCAGCCCGACGTCCTTGTATCACGCGCCATGATGCCCGCGCTCCAGTCCACTTTCGGAGAGGGAATCCGCCCTAGGTCTAACCGCTCCAACTCCATGGTCACCATGCTGCCTAGTCGAGCCCCTTTCATGCCTCCGCCACCGATGCTGCGCCGTGCTAGGACGACGCCGCCGCCCGAGGAGGATTCATCGACTGATGGGGAGGGTGAGGGGTTGTTTCCTGCGAGGCTGAAGTCTTGTGCCGATCAGGTTAGGGATGACGAGTATGGGGCTGTTCGGGAACGTGAGGATAGGGATAGGGAGATGGATGGTGCTTGGGATGAGGAGGGGTAAGGGGTGGAGTATTCCTGGAGAAGGGTGAGGTTACATGGTCATCATCAGATTTGCGATCTCAAAGACATGGGATTTCCGGCGTTTTGGCTCGGCGATATACCCCAGTGTTATAAGGTGTTTGGGTTTGAGATGTAGGTAGAGAAATGTAAACATCTAATGGCGTGTTATGAACTGCTTGGCCTGTGCGGTAAAACCTTGTGGGGATACAGACATGTCAGTATGTGCACGTCCAAGCTATGTAGACAGGGGCTAGCCGCATACAAAGAGATTTTATAAAAGTACAGAGCTATCACTGAGCCAATGTAGGCATCAGGACTTACCAACAGCTCAGGCATACACAACAGTATCTCAGCATGTATTAGTCTATGTCAGATGTGGGAGGACCAAGCAGACATGAGGGAGAAGGTTGTTGTATTAAGTGAGTAACAGAGAGCGACTATATACATGAGTAGCGAGCTGAGTAAGCACGCACTAGTGGGTCATGTGAGTACATCATTCACAGTGTACTTAGTGCACAAGGTGCCAGGTCTGACAGTCTAGTATTTACATTACAATTGCAGATTCTAGGATATCAAATTAATCATAACCACCAAACCCACATGATAAACGCAGAACAAGCGTATTCACACTCTCCGCCGAGCTGCTCATGTCCACTCCTACAACCCTCATCCAGACACCAGATCAAGCAAGCCCAGCAACACTTTCCACACCCCACCTACGCCTACTTGGTCCCCACCGGCACTGCAGTCCCCACATTATGACTACTAGAACTACTAGCACTAGCCTGATAATGATTCTGCTCCATGAGACTCCAATCGCCAATCTGCTCGTCCCCAAACTGATCGAGATCCAGACCCATCATCTCAGCCTCCGACGTAACACGCAAATGCATGCCCGGAATATACTTGAGTGCGTAAAGCAAAATACATGATACAACGAAGGAGTAAGAAGCGATGGCCGTAATCTCCGCTAGCTGACGACCAATCTGCACACCAACACCGTCCATGCCACCGAGACCGTCATAAGGACCCATACCATCGAGGTCGTAGATCCAAGCTTGGCCAAAGATACCGGTGAGGAAAGATCCGACCATACCGCCGATACCGTGGAGTTTGAAGACGTCCATGCCTTCGTCGATTTTGATCCAGCGGTCAACGTTTTGGCAGAGCGAGCATATTGCCGCGGTCAGGAAACCGATGAGCGCCGCGATCCAAAGGGATACGTAGCCCGCGGCTGGCGTGATGCCGACGAGACCGGCGATGGCGCCGGAGCAGGCGCCTACGACGGAGAAGTGGCCTTTTGTGCGGACGTATTCGACGGAGACCCAGCCGAGGACACCGAAGGAGGCGGCTGTGTTGGTGTTGAAGGCTGCGAGCATGGAACGGACGGTTCCGTTGAGGGCGCTGCCGCCGTTGAAACCGAACCAGCCGAACCAGATGAAGACGGTGCCGATGAAGACGAGTGTGGGGTTGTGCGCTTTGCCGTGGATCTTGTCGCCTTTGTGGAGGCGCTTGCCGAGGACCATGGCGTAGGCTAGGGCGGACCAGCCTGATGCGATGTGGACGGGGCCGCCACCAGCGAAGTCGAGGGAGGGGAGGTTGAAGAGCCATCCGTTTCTGTGAAATGATCAGTATGATTCATGGTATTTTTCGAGCGGAAGACGGACGCGTTCCATGTCCAGTTAGCGATCGGACAGTATACAATAGTTGCCCAGAGGAAGGCAAAGACCATGGATGGTAAGATGCGACCACGCTCAAAAGAACCGCCGATAACAAGCTGGACTGTGCAAGCACAGAACAACATCTGGTACAAGCCTTAATACGGTTAGTACATGCAACTCAATCTCACCGGATTTATGACTTACAGAATACAATCTCAGGCAAAAACGCCGAACCAGGCGACGGCGCGGCCATGACATTCTTCAGACCGAAATTGTCAAGATTACCAATGAAGGCATTACCCGTACGAGAGTACGCAAGAGAGTATCCCCAGAACATCCACTGGAAGGTGACACTTCATCTTATTAGTTCAAAAACTCTCGGCGCATTCGATAGCAGTATTTGAACTCACACTCCCATAACAGCAAACGACTGGAACAACATGGACAACGCCGACTTGCGACGAGCAAGTCCCGAGTACAAAAAGCCGATACCGGGGATGATCAAAAACACCAAAAAGGCCATGATCATTAGGTAAATGTAGTGGAACTCCAAACCAGTGTATTGGAGGTTGACATTTTCAGCGTCTGGGTTGCCGCCGTTGGGTTTGGTGGCGTCGAACTCTGGCTAGATACAAATCAGTCTCTATTCGTAGCCCTCGGATTCATGTAACCATAACACTTACAGTTGGTGGCGGTGTCTCCATGATGTCAAGTCGTCGATATGTATCGACAAAACACACACACCTAAATCAGAAAAGAAGCGACAAAAAGTTCACCACTGACGGCAGGGGGGTATCTGTGCAGATATACAAAACAATTACCACCGTGCCCTATCGCTTCCCATTCATCCGATCCCAAGACAAGACAAGAGAAACCGCCGTTGATCCCGGCACACGTCCGGATCTATCAACGTCCACCCCAACATGGCACCCAGCAAGGCCGCCTTGGCAGAGATAAGCAGGGCCATCCCGTGTTTCCGAACTTGCTGCTGGGAGGAGCGGCGCGAATACAGTATGGTATGGATTCTACCAGATTAGACAATCTGGGAGCCGGGGAGAGGGCGGGGCGTACAAAAGAGAGGCAAGCGTGCGCCGGAGAGGATGAGCCAAAACCGCCAAGGATTCATACACGGATGTTGGGCCTAAACGGCCCGGGTGGTGTGTGTGGGCGCAAGGGGTCTTGGATGGGTTGATAAGGAAGGTGTTAAAGAGGGATAGTGGCTTGAGCAGGGCGATGATAAGGCGTTTGGATTGGCATCACGGGAGATGAAGGGAAGTGGTTGCGATAAGTTACTTTATTGGCATTTGTAAGACGAGATTGTATACGGATACTGGCGGGATTAGATGATAGGTGTATCTATCGGTTGTTCTTGGATTTCTACGAGGTGAGTGATGGCGCGGCCGTTGGTGGGTGATTCGCTCGGCGTGGTCCGTGTTTCCGAACACCAGGTCCATGCCCCATGCCACGGGGTCGATCCACAGTCTTGGGTGGCTTTGCGACGTTCACGGTTGTGTATACACGTGTTGTAAGTTGTAAGTTTTTTTTGACAGGTTTTGTCGGACGTGTAGCTTTACGATTGATGGTGCAGAGACATTTGCTCCCTATCGAAGGGTTGGTATTCCGAACAAGGCGTTCCGCATCCGCGAGTCGTACGACGTGCTGCGCCGCTGTAAGGCGAGATTTAACATTCAGCAGCCGTTATGCGTTGCACTCAAAAGGATCAAGTCCGTTATTGCGAGCTCGATTCAGATGACACCTGACTTGTGCGCCGCCCGCGTCAGCACTGCACTTCAAACCCAATCTCGTTGCCAACGCTGAGCATCGATGTCGCTATCACCCGTCATTATCTCTGATTTTTGTCATTAGTAATGTAAGTTGATGTTCAGCATGATCATTGCCGTTGCTATCGCAGGCGTGCTCTGGCAGTTATTGCTACTGGCGAAGCTCTCTTGGTATATTGATGCCGAGCCTCGCGATGGCGAAAAAGAAGATTATAGCAGCAGAATCGACTTTCATCGCGACTCGGCTGTTTCATAGGCACAGATGGAGGATAGGTACGAGCTGACGTGCGTAGTGCAAAAAATGGTAGATGTGGCAGGCTGCATGCTGAGAATAATCGATTGATGGATTCAACTGATACCGGATGAGACAAGAAAGAGAAGAGGCGATAAAGTACGTGGTGGCGAGGAAGTTGAAGAAGCTGGGTGGTGGCTGCGTAATCAGTCGCGCCAAGGAACTCAATATCAACAGCTTTCGTCATCTCTGGCTCGCTTCATGTCTGTAACGCCCGTCTCCCAGCCATCTACCACTACCACCCAGATGCACACCCTACCATGCAACGGGGAACGTTGGTTAGTTCCCGTTTTTTAACAAACAGCTGAGCTCTGGAGCACCACCGATGCAGGACACGTCGTCTCGGCCAACGACTTGGGCCGCGAAGCACGCGATAGGTGTGGTATGAGGTTTAGCGGACCAGAAACACTCAATCTCAACCACTGCGAGCAAGCAATCGGTAGCGAAGCTGCCTATCGCAATCACAGCATGCATTCCATCAGCTCGTCATGAGGACATAGACTCCCCCCGCCGCTTGCTCCCTTCTCTTCTCCCATGTCTTTCCTTTCTACAATCATTTTATTTGTTTGGCTTTAGCGCAATCCATACCCCGCTTGTGATGAAGCTGTTTAACAGACGATGGCGACGTTCAGGCGTCTATGGCCGTGATTCCAGGGTAAAGCCCTCAAGGTACGATGACGAGCTCAGAGAGATTCCCACCACGGACAGTGTCTTGGGTGCGATCAGAGGGGTTAGGCGACTCGAAGCATTACACGACGACTTCAGTACTCCAACATCACAGCCTACCTCAACGCTGTCGTTGGTATCCCTCACAGCCCACCCAGTTCGGCCATCCTCATCGGCTTCATCGCGTGCACACATCACCATCCCAGCTTCGAGAGCTGCACACATTGTGAACGATCTAGAGGCTGAGCCATTCACAACAGTGTTTGGCGCGGTGCCCAGTAGAGCAGATCCACAGGATGAACGGCGCTTTGCTGTCTATTTCTCTCCCACCAACGCGAGTGATTACGAACTTACCCCGCTACGCTGCGGCACGGTCGAGCCTCGGTCTTTTTGGGAGTACGATACAAGTCGCGAGGTATCAGCTTCAGAAGCACGCACAAACGAACCCCACCAAAGCACGCATCGACCCGAAGACGTATCCAGCGATGACCCACCTCCGCGATACACATCACTCGACCCACATCCGATTCTGGGTAACCAGCCCAGACTCCGACGTCGATCCACACTTGAAGTCCTCGGCGCTATCCGCAAAGAGGGTCTCAAGGCTACAACAGGCAAGATGGGGAAGAGTATGGCGAAGCATGTCGAGGATGTGGGCAAGATTGCAAAGGACGTGCCTTTGGCTGTTAAGGAAGCTCAGATGAAACTGAGTTCCAAGAGAGCCAAGAGTAAGATCCGGTGGCTGGAGAAGCGCAACTATTTGAGTTGTCAGGAGAGGTTTTTGACACGGGAGCTCGTCGGATGAGGGTGGGACGTTTATTTGAGAGATGCGTTTATGAGGTAGATCACGATGGAGGAAGAGGCAGTTATTCAATTCTCAAGTGGGCGGGATATAGATCCACGTCATTTATCATGGAACTCACTACTTGACTTTCGTTATTGTACCACCATTCTATCTTCGCTGGTCGGCATACGATAGCTGTCATGAAAAGCAATAGCGTATCGAATAGTCCAATTTATTCAATCACTTTCCCATAATCAGACGAGAGCTGCTCGCACCTGCGCCCGACAGCACAGCCTCCTTCACGAACACGGTACAGCATATGGCGCTAATCGTCTGTGCTTGTACCAAGTAGTCCCGGATCGATCGCCGCAGCTTGAGTGCCGTAAAACTCCAAAGAACGCAATCATCATCCATCCATGAAAACCTGCGACATCTTCAAACCTCAAAGAATAAAGCAAACAAGGCGCGTCTTTGCACGCGTTCCCAGCACCATCCCACCCCACCTCATCATACCTACTCACATCTCCCAAACCGCAGCATGCCCAACATCCGCGGCGCATGCAACGCACGCAGTCTTAAGTGCAGCCACGTACCGAATCGCAGAAGGGTTCATGCATGCACAGTAACCGCGGAATCATGCTGGGGGAGGGGGCCTAGGTCGCGTGACAGCCGCCTTTTCCAGTGACGTAGGTCCGTGCGAAGTAACGTCCAACAAGTCAAGTCGGTCTCAGCCCCCATCCCCGCCGTTGCTTCATATACGGACAAGGCAGCCGCTTGTTTGACTTCTTCTTTCCCTCTCTCCCTCTCCCCCTCTCCCTCTCGCTTTTGCTGGATTATCGGAATAACGCGAACACCACACGATATACGTTTTTACGAGATAAGAGAACGCTACCGCTATCATGATGAACCTTGTCATTTCGCTGTGCTTGCAGCTGTCGATGTTTATGCTGGCTGAGGCTGCGCCCGTGGCGGTGCAGTCTGCTAAGCCGTGGCAGGCGGGTACTGGAGGTGGGATTGTGGGGTTTATTGTGTTGGTTCTTGATATCATTGCTTGGAGTAAGTTTTCCCGTATTGTTATACGTCATGCGATGCGCCTTTCTTTCTTGTGAGGCTGCATTGTCATTGAGAGCCAAGCTAACATGTACGCTCCAGTCGAGATCTTCAAGTCCAACCGTCCCGTCCCCAACAAGGTCCTCTGGGCCCTCGTCGTCTTCCTTTTCCCCGTCGTCGGAATGCTCATCTACTACCTCTTCTCCAACCGCCAGGCTCACAACACTTATGAGCCTATTCCGGCTTAGATGCGAGGTGTATGGGTCGCAAAATCATGTCCAGCAATGTCAACATAACACGCGATATGGGAATCGAATTGCGCCTACGAGGCTGATTGAAGGAATGGTCGGATCAAAGATGATAGCAGGGTGTTGGGCGTTATATGCAGGCTTTGTTCGTCGGCAGGGGTATCATGGAGGGTTAATCTGGTATTCAGCGAGTTCATGGGCTGTCACGGCAGACCTGTTTACATGACAGACAGACAATCGAATATATGACCGTCCCTCCACGTTTCACTTTGGTGCCTTCTCTTAGCTGACTGCAGCGTTGCGCGTACGCGACGCGATATTACCTCACGCTTTGCAAATTTGCCACTGTCCGCTCTCACCTAGGCAACCGTGCCTCTAGTCTTGTCAGGGTCACTCTTTACGCGCACCACATTGTTAAATAGATCACAGACTCTTCTCTTCTCTTCTCCATCAGCTTCCTTGCGCGATCCGCACGAGCATCATGAGGTATGACGAAGATAGGCCGCTAGATATCGAGCGCGTGCGACGGTACATTATCAAGACTAGCTATTTTTTAAGCCAAAGCTTACAGTGACAGGGCAATACGTGAACACCCCATCCGCATATTCACGAGCGAAAAGTTTCTTGAAAAGTCCGAAGCACTCGACCAAGAATCGTGAGTGCTACCGTTAAGGCACTGATGTCAGAGCTGACGTTTCCCAGAAAGATCAAAGCATCTGCAACTGCCTTAGGAAAGGTGCTGCTGGCTAACGCAAAACCCGACTGCCTTGCCTTCGCTACGAGCTTTCATGTTGTTATGCCACAGGAGATCTGAGATCGCGTCTATTCATTTCTACAGCCACCGAGTGTGGACATCCAGCATGAATTTCCGGATACGTGGCCTCCTAACCATGATCCTAATGGTGTTCTTATCGACGAACTTTCTATAGAGCTTTTCCAGGAGCGCCTCCAACATTGGTTTCTGCCTGAAGCTGTTGGGTTCGAGTTTGCCCATGAGTGCGCCAAAAATTACTTTGAGGAAATAGTCTTCCTCTTCAACGTACCCAGCATCAGGAGCATCAAATCATTTCTCGAAGAAGATATCTTCGGGTTGGAACTCAAACCAAGCGAACACATTCGACGATGCCGGATTGATATAACTAATTATCCGGTGTCTGGAGACGGTGATAGCGAATCATCAAGAGCTTTAGCAGATCAGCTGGTTGCTTTGTGTCGACTCAAGCAAGCTTGTTCTATGGTCGACTTCATCCTTGATGTATATGTGACTAATCGGAAGCTGGCAACGGTTAACAGTCTGCTCAATCATCTGATATGGCTATCACCGATTCTGTCCAAATTCAGGCGTCGAAAGATCTCCTTTACAGTCAAGCTCACAACAGATAAAAATCCTGAAGCATTCATTACGCCTATATGGTTCAGGACAAGCAAAGCATCTAAACGAGACAACGGAAGTCTTGATTCGAATTGCCACGACGATACAGATGGTAAAGCCTTACTGCAGAGATTCCTGGCTTGGAAGGAGAAATTGAGTAAGTGAGGGTGGAACAAAGGCCCAAGAAGCAACTACTAACAACTGAGAAGGGAGCGGCGTTGTGCACGAAATCATGGCTGACGACGAGTACTTGAGCTATTTAACGCTGATTGATTTCGACCCAGACCTGATCGACTTCGTGGCAGCGATCCTGCGTCAACCCTGGTAAATGTTTCATGAAATTATCGGACCTACTGCCTTGGCCATCTCTCATCTCTTTTGGTTCCTTCTCTTCCAATCCGTTCTTGTATTTCTTCAAACTCGGCGTCTTCATAAGTGTTTCAGGGTTGGGTTTTTTTGGCTTTGACATCTCTCTGTCGCTGCCAGGGCCCACAGGTTCTCGCCACTAAGTATCTTCAGCGGCGCAAAAGTGCTTTTCTTTATCAAGTTCGTTGCATTTCATCGGAGCAAAGCATTAGGAGATGGCATCTTGCAATCGATGCTAACTATTCTCCTCTCTCACGTAAAATCATATAGATGTACGAACCAGTAGATCTCTCATTTGCCAATTTTTGCCTAACGAATCCAAAGGAAGCTGTTCCTTCTCATCCCTTCAACACAACCATGATTATTCTCTCGATCCTCTCACACCTTCCCAAAGATACCCTCAGCTGTGCCAAATTTAGCGCTTAGCGCAATAAGCCCTCCCGTCACACTCATAACTCCGCTGAAAACAGACATCTGCTCAAACCCACCATACCTGTCCAGCAGCGCCCCATTAATTGGAGGACCAATCAACACCGCAATCGCCGCAACCCCCATCCCCATCCCCATATACGTCCCCAGCGTCCTCGGATCCTTTGCACAAAGCGAAATCGCCGCAGACCCTGACGAAATAATCGTACCCGAAATAAACCCAAAGAAAACCGAATACACAATAATCCCCGCATTCGTCGTGGGCACATTAATACAAAACACCACCACGCCCGTGCTCAGCCCCGCAAACGTGAACATATTCACCCTGCCCAACCGATCCGCGATAATACCCGGTATAACGCGGCCAAGCGTCGACGCACCATTGATAATCGCCAGCAGGTACGACGCCAACAAAGGCGTCATACCCCTCCTAACCGCATACACGGGAATATAAAACACCGGCGTCCACATTCCCATCATCATGAAAAACAACGCCACAACCAAGCCCACATACTGGCCCTGCCGCCACGGCTCCCCGATCCAAATCTTCGATTCTTTCCGTGGCGGAAACCGCGGTTTAAGCACCATGCATACGAACAGCATAAACGGCATCATGATAAACGCGACAATACGTATCGACCAGCCGAAGCCCAGTGCGCTCGAAGAGTATGGTAATAATAGTTTGGACAGAACGATGGGAAGACGAGCCCGCCGATGGAGGAGCCACTGACGACGATACCGAGGGCGGCGGCGCGTCATTTATCGAAGTAATGGCCCATTAGGGCGAAAGCGGGGAATTGCAGGAAGGCGACGGAGGAGCCCATGAGGAGGGACTGCGTGAGGATGAAGTGCGGGTAGTGTATGCAAAGGGAGAGGAGCATTAGGCTGAGGATGTAGAGGAGGGTTGCTGGACGGATTATCTGTGTTGGTGTCAGTCTTGTGCCCTTCATCCCATCCCATCCCATCCTCCTAAACCCCCAAAAATAAATAAATACACAAACTTACCCACACCCCCCACCGATCAAACCCCGGACCTCCCACCACACCACTCGCAAACTGGATAAACCCCGCTAAACTGCCTATTCAAGCAATAGCGTTCATACTGTGATCGCGAAGTTGATGGGTAGAGTAGTATTCCTGTAAGACGCCGAAACAGGATGTGAAGCCTAGGCAGCAGAAGAAGATGCAGAAGGCGCCGGCGCAGTTGAGCCAGGCGGTTGGACCGCCGTCTGGGGCGGGGCCTGGGGGTGTTGTTGAGGGGATATTGGAGGGGAGTTTTTCGATGTCGAGGGTGGGGTTCAGGGGAGGAGTTGGTGTAGGGGGTGTGGAGGGGGAGGGCATGGTGAGGGATTGGTAAAGGACTTGTCTAAATCAGGTAATGAATACTCCGTGAATTGGTACTGTGTGTAGAGGAGATATGAAATCGGTCCGTTTGTTGTAGTATCTATCCTTATACACGATATATGTTGAGAATACAGTCCGTAAGTGACTTGGTGGTATCAAGCGGAGGAGTAGTCACATGATTGGTGACACGTGCAGGTGGGTCCTAGCGGGGAGCTTGGACGCAGCTGCACGCAACACGGATCTACGTGTGAAGGTCGTCCGAAGATGATCTTGGGTTGGTTCTCGGGGATGGAGTGATGCGATGGACACGAGGTTGTATAGCACGATTGGTAGATCGATGTAATATACGGGGAGTTGAGAATCAAGTACTAATCCTTAGATTTCGAAGTTGAACACAATGAACCGTAAGGGCTCATTGCCTACTGTTATATAATAAGCGTGCCCTCCATTGTGGCCTTTCCCTCCATGGAGGTCGCACCCTCCGTGGAGGTCGTGCCCTCCATGGCGGTCATGCCAAGGTTGGAGGGCAGGTCACGTGACTGCGCGGCACAAGCTTACCCGCTGTGCCCCGCCTTCAACGTTGTTCTGCCGTTGTTGCTTGTCCTCCTCCTTGCAATCGTAACACTACGAACGTGTGAATAGCTCCTTAGTCAATAATACGAATCTGTACCACCACTACCGTTGTGCCTTAGAGAGCGCTCTATTAGGTAGTCATACTACTACTAATAGTGCCAGCTTCTCAATAATATATATATATCTACGTAGACTGAGAATTTATGACATAGTCGATAAACAGCAGTTTCTCCGAGTCGGTCGGTGATAACAAATATGGCTGCTAGCTAGAATATCCACATTGCAGACATTTGTATAAAACTTGTACACAACTAAATGCAGGAGACAAGCCATCACCGGTGAAAGGAATCGGACTCGGAGATGTCCGGGGATAACAAAACCGGTCGCCATGTGATTGGTCCATACCTCCGAGCTCCAACACCTGCAGCAAGGCCACCCATGTCATACGAGCGGATTACTTACTTATATCCGACTCGCCTCTTATTTTACATCTCCCGTCTCCGTGAACAACTGTCGTACGTTTTATTTCTTGTGTTTCGGTGATAGTAAGATACACGATGAGCGATTCGGGTCGGAAACGAAAGAGGGCTGTCATGTGAGTGTGTGTTTGTGTAAAGTGATGGGTAAACCCGACGCTAACTGAATCCAGCTCCTGCACCTTGTGTCGAAGGAGGAAGATACGATGTAATCGAGAGAATCCGTGTAGTAGTTGTGTAGTAAGCAAGACGGGATGTTGTGTCTACGAGACCGAGACGGCGGTGCAAAGACCGAGTGCTACACTTCCGATACAACCACGCGGGGTGGCAGCAAACGCAATGGATGCGCCTTCCTCGTCAGTTGGCGACTATACGCCGTCTCTCTCGACAACTCCCATGAGCATTAGTCAATCTTCTTTCCAGCTCAACGCTATGCGAGCACGTATTGCGGAGCTGGAGGATAAGCTTTCTCGAGCTACTAGTACTACTAGCTCAGTGTATACACCATCAGCTTCAACTCCAGCGTCGACACATGCTGTGCACACTGTTAGCAGCTTTGCATGTACTGTGGATGTACTCCAGGATACGCAAATACCTGGGGGTGCAGATATCTCTAGGGGTATTGCGCATAAGAACCGGGTGTTTGGACAGAGTCACTGGATGAATGGTTTCGTCATGGTCAGTACAACAGATCAACCCGCGCACACAACACCATTAACGAGGTTCAGTTTCGCGATGTCATCGAAATGATGGAACCACATCTCCAAGGCGGATCGTCTAACCTGGTGGCCAGCATACAGCGTGCCAAAGTTCTAGCCCGCGTTATCAAATCGCAGCGCTCTCCAAGCTGGCCTACCGTGCCGACACGCAATCTCCCGCCAAAGCATGTGTGTGATCAGCTTGTTGCTGGCTACCTCCGTACCATGGAGACGGTGTACCGTGTTATCCACGTGCCGAGTTTCATGCCCAACTACGAGAGCGTGTGGGCATTCGACGCAGAGCCTAGCATGGCTTTTATGATGATGTTGAAGTTGGTACTGGCAATTGGTGCTACGGTACATGACGAGAACATGTCGATGCGCACCGAGGCGACACGTTGGGTATATGAAGCGCAATCTTGGGTGTCGTCGCCTACGTTCAAGTCGCAGCTCGTAGACTCCGCAACAATCAATTCAATCCGGTCACTCTCCTAGACCCACTTACCTATCTAGGTAGGGCTTAAACTCCTATAGGTAACTACTAGGCTTAAAGCGGTAATCAATCAATCCAATCTGAACCTTCTAGGACCCACTTAATTGATTGTTGCGGACTGTGGCAGCTCGGCATCCAGTATCTACAGATCAGCATCCTCTTACTGCTCGCGCGTGAGCTGGTTGACGTGGGGTCTGAGCTTGTATGGATCTCTATTGGTGCAGTGCATCGGTCGGCAGTGTATATTGGTTTACACAAGGATCCGTCGTGTCTTCCACATATGAAGGTCATGGAAGCAGAGATGCGCCGGAGGATCTGGAATACTATCATTGAGTTGTCGTTGCAGATGAGTATGCAGGCGGGCGGACCGCCGTTTATCGGTCTTGACGATTTCAATACTGCGCCGCCGGGCAACTACGATGACGATCAACTAGTGAACGCGGACCCTATGGTCAAACCAGACGGTGTATACACGCAGACATCCGTGGCGATTGCTCTTAGGAAGACGCTTCCAAGTCGCCTGGCGGTCTTGAAATTCCTCAACGATCTCGCCTCGACCGGGACGTATGAGGCGACGCTTCAAATCGATGCCGAGTTGAGATCAGCACACAAGACGTTGCGTCGTACGATGCAAGGATACAGTAGCGATAAATCGCCTTCCTTGTTCACAGTTGAGGCAGTCGAATACATCATGCAGCGCTACATCACCTCTCTACATGTTCCATTCTTCGCTGCGGCGTTGAACAATCCTCTTTACGCTTTTTCGCGAAAAGCGACCGTCGCATCGTCGCTGAAGATCTGGGGTCTTGCGGTTCCGGTCTCAAAAGGTAGCCCTTATCCGGAAGAGGAGACTGATCTCGCTCGTATGTCGCGTTGCGCAGGGGGCTTCTTTCGCATGTACGCCTCCAT